CAACTCAAAAAAAAAAAAAAAAAAAAGAAAAAATGGTTAACAAGGAGATAGCTCGAAATAATGACAAGCCTTGTCATGTCTTAGTTTTCATAAGTAATCTAGATATAATTGTTAAAAATAAAGTGAATGTGACATAAACATTTCTAAATGAATTCTTTATAGAATTCTTTGTTTCTTAAATTTTGTAGAAAGACTCAATCTATTTGGGTCTATGAATACATATTTTTTTTTTGAGTCAGGGTCTCCCTCTGTTGCTCAGGTTGGAGTGCAGTGGCATGAACATGGCTCACTGCAGCCTTGACCTCCTGGGCTCAGGCGACCCTCCTGCCTCAGCCTCCTGAGTAGCTAGGACTACCTAGCTGATTTCTTGAATTTTTGTGGAGACGAGGCTTCACTATGTTGCCCAGGCTGGAGGATGGTCTTGATACAAGTGACAAGTCCTGCAGGTTCAGAGTGAGCAGAGGCGAGGCAGAAAAAGAAAGGGGTAGAGTGTTTTCTTTTAACTGTATAGCTGCAGCTTCTTTTTTTTTTGAGTTGGAGTCTCACTCTGTCGCCCAGGCTGGAGGGCAGTGACACGCTCCCTAGCTGGGTCTCGAACCCACGGGCTCAAGCAATCCACTCACCTCAGCCTCCCAAAGCACGGGATTACAGGCTGAGCCACCGAGCCCAGCTGGCTGCAGCTTCTTAATCTGGTACTAAGAAAAACAAATGTGGGAGTTGGAATGACACTTATGAAGGCCAGTCATTTAAATATATATTTTTATTTTTTGAGTTGGAGTCTCACTCTGTCGCCCAGGCTGGAGTGCAGCGGCACACTCATGGCCACTGCAGCCTCCACCTGCTGGGCTCTGGCGAACCTTCCACATCAGCCTTCCAAATAGCTGGAACTACAGGCACTCACCACCACATCCAGCTATTTATTTATTTATTTATTGTAGAGATGAGGTCTTGTCAAGTTGCCCAGGCTGGCCTCGAACTCATGGGCTCAGGCAATCTTCTCACCTCGGCCTCCCAAAGTGCTGGGATTATGGGCGCGAGGCACCTCGTCCAGGCTTATTTTTTATTTTTTTATTTTTTAGTCAGAGTCTCACTCTGTCACCCAGGCTGGAGGGCAGTGGCACGCTCACGGCCACCACAGCCTCGACCGGCTGGGCTCAGGCGATCCTTCCGCCTCAGCCTTCCGAACAGCTGGAACCACAGGCGTGAGCCATCACGCCCAGCCTGAGAACTTTCACAGGCAGGTGGGAGTCGGTTTCTGCTGCGGTTGCTAAACTGGGACTTCTGTTATTGCCTCTACCTCCACCCCCCCAGGGAAGGCAGCATGTTGGAAAACAAGAAAATACAAACAAAAGCGGGGCCAAGAGATGGTGAGAGCCCATGTTCTGATGATATTAGTGGAGCTCAAGTCGCCCCTAGGCTTTGGGGTCCCTAATAGGAACAACACACTCCACCCTGTTCTTGTGCTTGTGCCAGTTTGAGCTAGAATTCTGGCACTTGTGGTGAGGATGTCCTAACCCTTCAGGGCAGACCTGCAAGATAGAGAAAGCCTCCTCTCTCTGGGCATGGTGGTTCACACCTGTAATCCCAGAACTTTGGGAGGCCAAGGCTGGAGGATGGCTTGACCCAGGAGTTTGAGCAACATAGACCCCTGTCAAAAAAGAATTGTACTTTATTTATTTTATTTATTTATTTATTTTTTGAGCTGGAGTCTCACTCTGTCGCCCAGACTGGAGTGCAGTGGCCGCTCCCGGCCACCGCAGCCTCGACCTGCTGGGCTCTGGCAATCCTTCTACCTCCACCTTCCGAGTAGCCGGAATTATAGGCATGTGCTACCACGCCTGGCTGATTTTTTTATTGTAGAGATGAGGTCTCGCTACCCAGGCAGGTCTCAAACCCGTGGGCTCAGGCAATCCACTCACTTCAGCCTCCCAAAGGCGCGGGATTACAGGCTGAGCCACCGAGCCTGGCTATTTTTTTTTGAGTTGGAGTCTCACTCTGTCGCCCAGGCTGGAGTGCAGAGTGGCACGCTCCCGACACTGCAGCCTCAACCTGCTGGGCTCCGGCGATCCTTCTGCCTCCGCCTTCCAAGTAGCTGGAACTACAGGTGCGCGCTACCATGCCCGGCTGATTTTTTTGATTTATTGTAGAGATGAGGTCTCACCAAGTTATCCAGGCTGGTCTTGAACCCCTGGACTCAGGCAATCCTCTCGCCTCGGCATCCCAAAGTGCTGGGATAACAGGCTTGAGCCACTGCACCCGGCCTAAAAAATAATTTTAAAAAATAGTCGGACATAGTGGTTGCGTGCCTGTAGTCCCAGCTACTTGGGAGGCTGAGGAGTAAGGATCGCTTGAGCCCAAGAGGTTGAAGCTGTGGTGAGCAATCATCATGCCACTACACACCAGCCTGGGTGACAGAGTGAGACCCTAGCTCAAAAAACAAAAAAAGAAAGAAAGAAAAGCAAGCTTCCCCTCCATTCTGGAAAGGCAGGCAAGGCTATGCCACACCCCATAGCTTTCTAGCCTGTGCTGGCCGAGTGGGGGGAACAAAGCTAGCCTGCTGTGCTCATCTCTGTTCTCTGTGAGCAGGCAACCCCCAGGGAGGGCTCCATGAGGAGGCAGGGGCTGTCACTGTGACTCCCTCCATGTTCCGGGTGTGCAGCTCGCTGCCTGGGCAGATTTGGACCTTTGGTGTTTGCAGAATGAATGGTGTGAACCAATGGAGCTAGGCGGGCCAGTCACCGTGGTTGTTCAGTGAGGCTGTTTCCCCTGGGAGACACTATCTTGTGCTTACTAGGGGCTTTTCTATAGGGCGGGGATCAAGCCAGCTTTTCCTTGCTAGCGTCATTGTGAGGACTCTGGGTAACCTGCATGTGACTGAAGGCTTTGGGTGACCCTGAGCAGCCATGGAAGTTGACGGATGGTAGGGAACGGGAGGTGGGCTGGCAGGGATGCACAGGAAGCCACTGTGCCTGTCCAGTTTTGCTGGGAACCTAAGATGGCTCTGGAAAGGCAACTACTGTACAAAGGCACACACGGATAAAGTGCCTGGCGCAGTCAGGGCTGGGAGCTGACGCCCGTGACCGCCGTGTTCAGGCCAAGCGAGCTGGACCCTGCTCCCGTCCCTTGCTTGATCTCCGCTGTGCTGGCATGGCAGTCCCTTCCTCCCCGGCAGGCCTCTCTTCCTGCGTACCCCATGCCTCCTGCCTGCTCCTTGCTTTCGTTCCTTAAGGATTTGTTTGCACTCTGCACTCCCCCGGGACGGCAGCGCTGAACTCCTGGGCGCCAAAGACCCAGTAAGTCCGTCACCAGAGTGGGACGAAGTCCCTTGCCCTCGACTTGGCCACCTGGCGGATGCCTCAATTCCTCCCATGTAGAAAGTCTAAACCGCCTTCTCTTCTTTTTCTGAACCCGGAATGCGTACCTCTGGGCCCGACACGCTAGCACAACTCCTAGCTTCTCGCCGGTTCTCACTCCATGAAGGAGACGAAACTGCAACCTGTGTGATGCCACACTGCCATGTGAGTCGGGCACATCTCAGCCACAGCGGCAGGAGCCCTGGAGACAAACACCGTCTGCCAAGGCTGTGCAGACAGCTTGGCTGAGCCTCTGGGACCCGTTCCCCACCCCAGAGGACACCACCACCCCCTGACTCTCCACTGATGACGACAGCTGAATGCACTTTATTCTGTTGGGGGCCATCTGTTTATTAAGGGGTCATCTAGAAGGTGGATCCTCTGCCAAGCCACAAGAGCCACCACGTGCCCCTTAGAGATGCGATCGGGCTCTGGCCAGTTTACCACCCCAGGCCTGCGTGCTCCACAGGGGGCCCTTCCTGCTGGGAGCAGGAAGGAGGCAGTCAGGCTCTTGGAAGTGGCCACTAAGTCCGGCTCTCTGGAAGGGATCACACTGGAAAAAGGCTGAGCTGCGGCACAGTGAGTGGCCCTGGAAGGGAGAGGTTCTGGAAGATGCCTCGACCTGCCGGGGTGGCGGCCAGATACGTACAGGGGAGGGGGAGTACCCAGGGCCCTTCCAGCCGGGGCACAAGGGAGTTAGGAAGGAGACAGCGTGAGAAACGGAGGAGGAAGGGCTGGGTGGGCGCTGGCTGGGGAGCGACCTGGGGACGATCAGGAGACAGGTACCTGGGCTCCCACGACAGAGCGCGCCAGGGCCGGGCCCTGCAATCCCCCCACCTTGAGGCCGCACGACGGTCACCCTCGGAGCCCCGGTGAGTTGGGGCCAGGGCGCACCCCCTCCCCGGGCATGGGGTGTGGGGCTCAGCCTGGCTGGCGGTGTGCCCGCTTCCCTCGGCCTGGGCCTCGCTGGGCCTGGTCCGGGCTGTGCTAGCTGGCGGGGCCCCTCCGGGGGATGCAGCCCGCCATCTCCAGCGCCTCGGGCCAGCCTTCGTACTTGTTGGTGTGTTTGCTGTTCTTCACGTGCTGTGGGCAGGGAGTGGGAGGTCACGGCTGCGGCCCTCAGGGTGGCCTGTGGGCTGGGCACACACCAAGAAGGCAGGCCGTGCGAGGGGCAGCGTGCCTCCCCCCCTCGGCCAGCAGAGAGCTACAGCCAGAGCAAGGCTGGCGGGGGGGTTCTGGGGGTAGATCTGAGCTAGTCTTTCACTGGCCGGAGCCTTCCAGAAACCACTGGAGCAGGCTGTGTGTGGCTGATCCTTGGCCCCCACCGGGCCAGGAGCCTCCCCAACACGAGGACGGTGCCGGGGCTCCCCTCTCGCTCATACCCTAGCTCAGAGCCCGCTGTGTGTCCAAGAGGGCAGCCAGGGCTGGCAGGATAAGGGCGTGCAGCGCCAGTCAGGGACAGTGGCTTGCAGGAGGACCAGCACAGGATGGGCGTCTCGAACATGTAGGGGGAAGGTACTTTTGTCAGCTCTGAGTCTTGCCAATGTTAAAACTTTGCCACTTAAAGACCCTCACGACTGGGCGTGGTGGCTCATCCTGCAATACCAACTGTCTGGGAGGCCTAACCGGGAGACCTGCTTGAGCCCAGCCTGGGCAACATAGTGAGGCCTCATCTCTCCAAAAAATTAAAAAACTAGCCAGCTGTGGCGGTGCATGCCTGTAGTCCCTGCTACTCAGGAGGCTGAGGTGAAGGATCGCAGCCTGGGTGACAGAGCAACACCCGCCTCAAAAAAGGCCTTCGAGGGTGACACACAGACAGACAGGGAAGGTCAAAGTTGCTGCCCTTCTTTGCACAGAGCGGCAAGGGGGTCAGGGCCACCCAGCACAGGGCGATGGGATGGGACATGCCTGTGAGCCCAGGGCCCTGAGGGATGTGGCGGGAGGGCGGGCTCTCCGCTGTACCTGCTCAAAGGGGCTCTTGTTGTGCACACCCTTGGCCCCCACGAACACCCAGCTGTCCCGGAAGGCCAGCTCCTTGGCATTCCTGCTGCCCAGCTCGCCGAAAAGTCTCCTGGTCTCTTCGTTCATCCTGCGGCACAGAAGGAAGCGGTGGAGCCGCCGCTGTGGGGGACAAGGCGGAGGCCAGCCCAGCAAGCGCTTACTTGGTGGCTGGGTCATCGTAGGAGGCCACGAACACCAGCGTGCCTTCGTGCAGCGGACGGATGAACTTCAACAGGTCGTTGACATCTGGGGGCGGGTCCCGTGAGCGGGGTGCCCCAGGCACCACCGGGCGCCCCCCTCGCCAGCCCGTTCTCCGTGAGGGAGGCACCCCGCCAGGGCTCGCCGCAGGTGCAGGCCAAGCTGCCGCGAGGAGTGGAGCTGTCCGCAAGGCCTCGAGCCAAAGCTGGCGGTCTCGCCCCTCCCCTGCCTTTTCCCAACCCAGCGCAGTGCTGGGAAGCCCGCACGCTGGGACACGGCGCCCAGTCTCCGCCGCGGTCAGAAGGCCAGGGACAGACAGCAGCTGCCACTCACCTCCGGCCCACATGTCAAAGGTCCGGGCCTCGATGAGCTCCCCGCTGACCCCTGCACGAGAGAGAGGAAGGGGCCCTGCTGGGGCAGCTGCCGGGCCACTCCACCCTCCCACCTCAGCACTTCAGGCCAGGCTCTGGAGACAGCGGGCAGGTGGCAACTAGGCGCTGCGCGTATGGAAGCGTCTCTGGCGTCTCCCCAGCAGTCACGCCTTGTTCCGACAGCTGCATCCCGCCCGGAGCCACAGAGCCTCTTTCTGGCACCAGAGGCTCTCCAGGGGCTCCCCGCGAAGTGCCCTCACCTTCCCAGAGCCTTCTAGTCCTTTCCTGCTATCACGCTCCGTTCACGAGGTCGCTGCCTCTGTGAGTTCCCGAAGGGGAGGCTGGGAGGGAAGGAGGCGGGCGGAGGTGCCGCGCCTGCCTCCCTGGGACTCACCATTCACCAGGGCGATGTTCAGCCCGCGGCCCACGTTGTCTTTGACGCTGCTCATGAGCCTAGCGGGGGAAGGGTGATCTCGCACAGACCCACCTCAGACCGACTCAGACTCCCCACGCCCCACCCACTCGCCCCCCGGAGCTCACATCTTGTCCTCGAGGCAGATCTTGGGCCCGATGACGTTGGCAGCCCCGCTGACCATGCGGAAGGCCAGGTGCTCGTCGGGACATGGCTGGGGCAGGCCACACTTGTACTTCCTGGCCCGTGGCTCTGGGCGGAGACAGCAGGTGTGACCCCGGGCCTGGCCCGGGGGCCACCTGAGATCTGAGAGGGGGAGGTCAGGACCAGCCCGCAGTGTTGGACAGGTGACCACAGAGCAGGGAATCAGGAGGGGTCCCTGGTAAGGTGACAGGGACCAGGGAGAAGGCTTTTTACTACTAGCGGGAGAAAGCAAAGGCAGGGTGGAGGGAGTCAGGCTGGGGCCCTGACTGCATGGACAAAGTACACTGCCAGGCCGAGGTGGAGGAGATGTGGCAGGTACAGAGGGGAGGGGATACTGCCAGTCTCCCGACTTCCACAGGGGCTGGCGGGGGCAAGGAGGAGGATGGCCTCGGTTGCGGGTTGAATTATGTCCCCAAGAGATGTGTCGATGCTCTAACCCCGAGTACCTCAGAACGAGACATGTGGAAATAGGGCCTCAGCACACAAAGTAATTAAGATGCGGCCACAGTGGAGTAGGTCGGGCCCTTAATGCAACAAGACTGATGTCCTCATGAGAAGAGACGAAGACACACGGGGAAGACAGCCGTGGGACAATGGGGGCAGAGGTAGGAGTGATGCATTACACAAGAGAGCAACAAAGTTCTTGAGGGTTTTATACCAGCAGAAACAATACCAACCTGAACGGAAAGGGGCAGAGATGGGACAAAAGGAAGGAAGGGTGACTCTGAGGGCAAAGCCATGGATGCAGCCGGGCTCGGTGGCTCAGCCTGTAATCCCGCGCCTTGGGAGGCTGAGGTGAGTGGATTGCCTGAGCCTGCGGGTTCGAGACCCACCTGGGCAACTTGGCGAGACCTCATCTCTACAATAAATCAAAAATTAGCCGGGCATGGTAGCGCGCGCCTGTAGTTCCGGCTACTTGGAAGGACGAGGCGGAAGGATCGCCGGAGCCCAGCAGGTCGAGGCTGCGGTGGCCGGGAACGGCCACTGCACTCCAGTCTGGGCGACAGAGTGAGACTCCAACTCAAAAAAAAAAAAAAAAGCCATGGATGCAGGGGCCAGAGAGCGCGCAGGCCCAGAGGACAGAGCGTCAGGCCACAGACCATTCTTCTCAGGCCTCAAAACCTAATGAAACTTGGCCAAGCACAGTGTCATGCCTATAATCCTAGCACTTTGGGAGGCTGAGGTGGGAGGATTGCGTGAACCTAGGACTTTGAGACCAGCCTAGGCAGCATAGTGAGACCTTGTCCCCCCACCCAAAATTAAAAATTAGCCAGGCATGGGGGCATGTGCGTGTAGTCAGGATGCTGAGGTGGGAGGATTGCCTAAGCCCAGGAGGTTAAGCCCACAGTGAACCATGATCACGCCACTGCACTCCAGCCTAGGCAACAGAGTGAGACCCTGATACAAAACAAACAAAATGAATGGAATTTGCCTTGCTGTGTTTGGACTTGCTTGGGACTGGTGACCTTTTTTCTTTCCATATTGTACCTTCTGTCCTGTCCTGTGCCGTCACTGTATTCCGGCAGCAGGAGACTTGTTCCAGTGGACAGTGATGGCTGGTTTGGAAAGGAATGAATGGAGAACAGAAACCCTGGAGGACAGGGGCAGGCAAGGGCGTGACAAAGGCAGTATGAGGGCAGGCACAGGACGGGAGCCTTACCTGCGGTCGCCGAGCTCTCCGGGCCTGTGGATACAGAAAGTGGTTTCTGTTAGCGCGGAGGTCTCCAAGACTGTGCGGGGCAGCCTGGCCCTCCCCGATCAAGTCAAGGTGGGAGTAGTCATGCTTGGGGACCAGGAGCTAAGCCAGGCTGACCTTGGCATGCTCCCTGCTCAAGTCTAAGGCATGCTCCGATGCAAAACTCCCTGCTCCAGGAAAAGGGTAGTCTTGAATTGTAAACAGTACTTAGGTGAAGCTGGGTGCAGTGGCTCATGCCTGTAATCCTAGCACTTTGGGAGGACGGCCTGAGTCCATGGGTTCGAGACCAGCCTGAGCAACATGGCGAGACCTTGTGTCTACAATAAATCGAAAAATTGGCCAGGTGTAATGGTACACGCCCGTCGTTCCAGCTACTTAGAAGGCTGAGGTGGAAGGATCGCCCAGCCCAATAGGTCGAGGCTGTGGTGGCTGTGAGGATGCCACTGCACTCCAGCCTGGGCTGACTAAAATTAAAAAAAAACCACTTAGGTGAAAGGTCACTGGTAACAAGGTGTAGAGTCCCCCCAATCTCAGAGTCACGTGGAAAGCCTACAGGGAGCAACCAGGACACCCTTTCCAATGTCCATGGAAGCTTACCTGCCCCCCCCCCTCCCGCCTTGACTCCAAGCGGGCCAATGATAAGGTACTGGCTTCCCAGCTGGAGCAATGGGGTGGTGGGGGAAGGCTGCGTTTGATGCCAGGAAGCAGACTGGGGACGGCCAGAGGTGGCCTGGCGGGGAGGAGATAGAAAACCCAAGCCACCCCACCCCCTCCCCAAGCCTCAGCCACAGGCCCGTGTGGCCACCCCGTGGACATGCCCGGCAGTGGACAAGGAAGGACCCCACACTCACTGGCGAAGAGCTGCTGGATGCGAGGAAAGCCACTGCCAGGCCCACCCAGGAGGATGCTGACTGCGATCCATGTGAGGCCCACAGTGACCACCAGGGCCGCGATGCGGAGGGGTCCTGGGGGCAGGACAGACACAGGGTAAGCCCACCCCAGAGGCTGGAGGCCTCCGGAAGGACCCTGTGGCCTCTGGTGACTGGATCTCCCCTTCGTCTTGGGAAGAAGTGGCCAGAGGCCAGGAAGTGGGGACCTGTCGCCTTCCTTCAGGTCTGAGAGGGAGACTCGAACCCCCTGGCAAGTGGATGGAGGAAACCAAGTTCTAACCCCAAGGCTTTCAGAACTCACTGCTCCAGAGGGGCTCCAGCCCTCCTCTGGAAACTCCCTCACCTTCCTGCCTCTGAGACTACCTATTTATGTGTGTTCCACCCATCTGCCCTTCCCTCCCTCCCGTTCTGCTGGAGAATGCCCCTCCTTTTCTAAGATGAGTCCCTTCACCTGCGGTGAGCTGGATCCCAAGCTCTCCTCCCTTCTCAGATTTCTTGTAACAGTGATCATTCTATGTCACTCTTTCCCCTGTATCTTCAGTCTCCCCTGAGTGAAGAAAGCAAAGCAGCAGCAGCTCTCCTTCAAAACATCCCCAGCCTGCTCTTCTCTGTCCACACTCTCAAAGTCATTCGCGCTCTCTTTCCATAATCTCACCTCCCATTATTTCCCCAAACTACTCCAGTCTGGCTTTGCCCCCACTACCCCGCCCAGACAGCTTGTTGCCAAGGCCGCCCATGGCCTTCATGGTGCCGTCGCCCCAGTCACTTGTGAGTTTGGATCTTCCTTGACCTCTTAGTGGGTAGCCCATGTTCCCCCTGGGGTGGAACATTTCTCCGCTGGTTTCCAGGACAGCGTGCTCTCCTGACCCAAACTCTCCAAACACTCCTCATTCTCCTGGGTTAAGTTGTATTCCCCTCCCCTCCCCTCCCCTTAAAAGCTGGACTTACCCAGGCTGGCCCTTGGTGTCCACCTATACTCTCTTTAGATGCTATCACGTACTCATGGGGCTTGAACTTCCACCTAGTATCAATGACTTCCTGCTTCCTAGTTCCAGCTCCGTTATCTTGGGGGCCAACACCCTCCCAGCCAGTTCCTCACCAGCCAGTTCCTCGCTCAGCAGGGCTCAACCTCAATTTCTGAGTTCTACTCTCCACCCCATCCCCGACCTTTCTCTCCCCAGGGATCTGCGTCTCAGTTGTCCAGGTGACAGCAGGGCTGTCACGGGGATCATGTCCAACCCCGCAGCCTCTTTTGTGGGTTTCACTCTATGACCACGCCTCTCCACCTCCACTCTCCGCCCCCTCTCTCACCACTCATTTTCCAAAAGGCTGTGCCCAGAGATATTGCCCATACGCATCCTCATCTCATCGCTCAGGGGCTGAAGTCCTCAGAGGTGAGAGCGTTTGCTCAAGGTCACAGAATGAGTGTTTGTGCACGGTCCTCCATCTCCAAAACCAAACCGAGAGGTCCACCCGGGCCCCACCACACACGGATGACGGGAGACCTGGGCCACCCGCGCCTCCAGCCCGTTCCCTTTTTCAAGTCCCTCCGGTTCGCCGTGGAAGCCACCCACCTGCCAACCTCATGTCCACTTCTCCCGCTGGGTGGGGACCGCCGGCAGGTGCAGTGTTTGGGAAGCGTGCGCTCTGGGGGAACAAAGCGGAAGAGCAGGTTCGGGCCCCGGCCGGGGGCGGGCGCGCTCGGTGCTGTGACTTGAGAGTCCGACCGCCCGGCCAGGCCGGGCTCCTCGGGAACGCGGAGCCACCTTGCCTGGCCAGGAGGGGCTCGGGGACCCGTGGGCTCGCGGTCCCGTCCACAGGAGCCTCCGGGGCCGGGACTTGGAAGTGGCTCTCGCGGACTCGGGCCCCTCCCTCGGGAGGCCCCGGGCTCGGGCCGCTTCTCCGGGCCGGAGGCTGGCGACGCGGGCTGGGCCGGCCAGCGGTGGCCTGGCCGC